GCAATGCCAACTACTGCAGACAGAAGGCGCCCATTCCCCCTAAATGGACTAGTCGGCTTCACCAGCATCATACAGCACCCGGAGGAGCTGCGGTGCCAGTGCTCTTGGGTGGGGGCGCGCGATGCCGCCCCTGACAACTTGCCGCCCTGGGCGACCGCCCAGGTCGACCCTATCAGAAACCGCCACTGCTGATAAGTAAAGCATTTATTTTCACTAGTCATAACGCCTGCTGTAAGCAACTAGTTGAGAGGCAGTAAAAAGAGAGTTCAGCTTGAACTGACCAGTTGTCTCGGTTTGATCTGTCAGTCAAAGTGAGGAGAAATGTACTTTATTTAAGTTTAGGTTATAAAAAGCTATCAAGCCGACCCCCCAGCTGTGGATAAGATGAGGGGTGCCAAGCTTAAATCAGCTGACTGAGGCTGTTTTCGCTACAGAACCTGCTCCTTGTTCTCTGAAGTCATAGCCACATGGACAGTTTTCAAATCGAATGAGTCTCCACTTGAAACCATCACCCCGTTTGAGACAAACTTGGATGTCTTCACCACTGGGTGAAGTGTCAAATTGTACCTCTTAAAACATTGCACTCTTTGCAAAGCAGTTCTGATTATTTAATTGCCTGAGGCACTTTGATATCTCTTCTTATCTGCAGAAAAAATAAATAACTAACTTTAAATTATTAAAAAGATTACCAGCTCTTAATTTGACAAGAATCTTAACAACATTCTCTCCAAATTGACAAACCTATATAGTTTCTTAAACTGGGTGATTTACCAATTAACTAATAGAAGACAAAATATTTCCTTTAGGAAGATATTCATTCTTAAAAGGGTTAAACATCAACCTTTACTTAAACACAGACTTTTATCTAAAACTTGGACTGAATAACATCAAGTCTACATTATCTTTACTTTTAAACAGTTTTTCTAAGCCATAATCAGTGTGCATTGCCAATGCAATGCACCCTATTGTGATTCGTTTCCCATCCAAATCATCTCCACATTGGCACGCTTCTCCTCCTCCATACTTTGTCCTGGAGCTGCCATTGTAATTTATATCTGTAAAGCTCCTGTGCCAAATGGTAGCTATGCCTTTTGGTACCTGTGCAACTTATAGTTTTTGAAATATTAATTTTTAATAATTTACAATGGGAGTCAAAGGAGCCTTGTATTGGTCCAATACTGCCCCCTGCTGTACCTACTCAGTACTGAACCATAGTTTAATAATATTTGATCTCAATAGTTCAGTGGTTACAATAATAATATGATTGTATTTTGATGTTTTACTATAATGTTGTCTTAATATTGCTCTATTGTTGTAATATTATGC